TGAGTAAAACTGGCCATAGGGTTTTCTAGGCTGGAGTCCTGGTGTGGCGCTGTGGGTTAATGTACTAGACTGCAGAGTTACTCTGAACTAACTCTGAACTAACTCAGTGGCACTTAACAACAACAATGTATATGGAGGAGTCCTGGTGTAGCGCTGTGGGATAAAGCAATGGACCATAAGGTCGCCAATTCAAACTCACCACCTGATCCTTGGAAACCCTATACCGTGTTCACCATGAGTTGGAACCAAATCGACAGCACTCAGTAACAACAACAATGTATAAGGAAGTAGATCTCTATGTCTTTTCTCCTGCAGAACTGTGGGGTGGATTGGAACTGCAAACCTTCTGGTTAGCAGGCAGGTACTTAACCATTTAGCCACCTAGGCTTCTTTCATTAACCATTGTTGTTGTTAAGTGCTATGGAGTCAGTTCCGACCATAGCAACTTTGTATGGGATTTCTAAGGAGCAGCTTGGTGAGTTTGAACTACTGACCTTGCATTTCAAACTGACCTTGATGTTGAGTGCTTATCCTATGGGCACCACATCAAGTCTCTTATTAGGGAAACTACATAAAATACAATTACGTACCCACTACAACATTAACATTTAAAATATTTTTACTACCAAGTGTTTATGGGGATGTGGAACAACTAGAACTCACATACTGCTGATGGGAACATAAATTGATACAAAATTTAGAAAAAATTCTGGCAATTGAATATGTGTATCTTGGTGTGGCGCTGTAGGATAAGCGCTTAATCTCAAGTTTGGTTTGAACCAAGGACCACAATTCAAACTTACCAGCCACTCCTCAGAAACCCTATACAGGGTCACTGTGAGTTGGAATCGACTCAATGACACTTAACAACAACAACAACAATTTAACTAAAATTATATGTCTCATTTGAAGTAATTACAAGTCAAAATGAGAATCAAGGTACAAAAAACTAAATGATATACCTGATAATAAAAGAAAACTTATATACAAATTAGACCCCAAGAAAAAATATTACTATGTATCTTAGAAACTTCCCTCACATAATAAAAGTTATATAAATAGGCCAAAGAATTGAAAAATCAACAGGTTATGACACAGTGATATATTTATCAGAAATCTGAAATAAGTAATATGTGAGAATTCTGATCTCAAAATGTCTACTTGATAGTAAATAATGAGCAATACAAATGCAAAATTATTATCCCACTTGTGTTTAAGTTAATCACCCATACCGCAAGACCTGCTGTCAGAAGTTGTATCTTGATTACACTAAGTTGTTTCTTTTAATAGTGTTGATGGTTTTCTACTAGGCTGTTCACACATGAAGTCCTTATTACTTCAATTTATAAGATGGCTGACTAGAATTAGGGATGTAATCTGTTGTCATGGAAACCAGTCTTTCTTTCTACTTTTCTATGTGTGTGCCAACAGAGAGACCAAATCTACAACCAGAATTTGAGTCAGTAATTCTTGACATATATGGTGATACTTCAGTTTTTTTTTCAAAATTCCTTTAAAAGGTACCAAATTGCAAATACTAATCTAATAACATGTGAATTACTGACAGTGTACTAAATTGGAAATAGTATTCTAATAACATGCTAGTTATTGACAAGTGTGTAAAGATGGCTGTACTTTATACTCTGTTCATTTGGTAACTTCTAATAATAAATCCTAGTCATCATGCCATTATTCATGACCATTGGATTGATTATACAACATAAAATAGCTCATAGATGCTATTCTACAGTGAAAGATCTCTTAACATATTTGCCTCTGTTAAATATTTCGGAGACTTTATCAGGGACACATTTAGTTGACATTTATGAAATTGAGTACCATTTTTGAATTCCAGTTCTATGCCAACTCATCTGTCATTCTGTCATACTGTGGTGGTATGCATGTTACTGTAATACTGGAAGCTACGCCACTGGTATTTTAAATACAGGTTTGAGTGAAGTTTCCAGACTAAGGCAGACTAGGACGAAGAGGTGGACTACTTTTGTTTAGTTACTGAAAACCTTATGAACAGCAGCAGAACATTGTCAGATACACTGTCAAAAGATGAAAACATTATGAACAGCAGCAGAACGTTGTCAGATACACCGTCAAAAGATGAAAACATTATGAACAGAAGCAGGACATTGTCAGATACACCGTCAAAAGATGAAAACCTTATGAACAGCAGCAGGACATTGTCAGATACAGTGCCCAAAGATGAGCCCCCTTCAGAGTGGAAGACACTCAGAATACGACTGGGGAAGAGCTACTGGCTCAAAGTACAGTGGACCATAACGATGTGAACAAAGCAAAGCTTCGGGTCCTTTATTTGCAAAATGAGAAAAAAAAATGCAAACATTCATTAATAATTAGACCATAGAATGTACAATGTATGAACCTAGGAAAATTAGAAGTTGTCAAAAACGAAATGGACCCTCTCATGAAGATCAATATCCTAGGCATTAGTGAGCTGAAATGAACAGGTATTGGCCATTTGGAATTAGACCATCATGTGGTCCAATATGCTGGGAACAACAAATTGAAAAGAATGGTGTCACATTCATTGTCAAAAAGAACATTGCATGATCTTTCAAGATCTGTCTTGAAGTACTTACAATGTCTATGATAGAATAATATTCATGTGCCTAAAAGGAAGAACAGTTAATACCACTAATGTTGAAATTTACATACCAACCACTAACACCGGTGATGCTGAAGATTTATACCAACTTCTTCAGTTTGAAATTGATCACACATGCAATCAAAATGTATTGAAGATTACTGGTGGTTGGAATGTGAAAGATGAAAACAAAGAGGAAGGATTAATAGTTGGAAAATATGGACTTGGTAACAGAAATGATGCTGGCGGTCACATGACAGAATTTTGCAAACCAATTACTTATTCATTAAAAATACATTTTTTCAACCAACAGTTTATGGACCTCAGCAGATGGAATACACAGGAATCAAATTGATTATACCTGTGGGAAGACACAGTGGGCAAGCTCAATAATATCAGCCAAAATAAGGCTAGAGCAGACTGTAGAACAGATCACTACATGCTCACATGCAAGTTCAGGCTGAAGCTGAAGAAGAAGAAAAAAAGTCCACGAGAGCCAAATATATCCCACCTGAATGTAGAGACAATCTCAAGAGATTTGATGCATAGACACTGATGGCCGAAGACCAGAAAAGATGTGGGATGACATCAAGAACATCACAGGAAGAAGGTAAAAGGTCATTAAAAAGACAAGAAACAAAGACAAGACCAAATGGGTATCAGAACAGACTCTGAAACTTACTCTTGAGTGTAGAAAAGCTAAAGCAAATGGAAATAAGGAAGTAGCAGAGTTCAACAGAAAATTCCAAAGGGCAGCTTGAGAAATATTATAATGAACCATGCAAAGACCTGGCGTTAAAAAACCAAAAGGGAAGAACACACTCAGCATTTCCCAAACTGAGAAAACAACAAAAAATTCAAGCTTCAACTTGAAATATTATTAAAGGATTCTAAGAGGTCTGATAGTGTAGTGGTTACGAATCGGGTTGTGAACCACAAGGTCGGCAGCTCAAAACCACCAGTTGTTCCACGGGAGAAAGATAAGGCTTTCTGCTCCAGTAAAGATTTACGGCCTTGGAAACCCTGTACAGGGTCGCTATGAGTCGGAACCGACTCCACAGCACATAACAACAACAACAAGAGGTCTGGTAGCATACTGGTTAAAAGTTGGGCAGCTAACCTCAAGGTGAGCATTTGGAAACTACCAGCGGTTCTGTGGGAGAAAGATGAGGCTTTCTGCGTGCGTCAAGATTTACAACTTCAGAAACCCTATACAGGGTGTCGCTATGAGTCAGAACCAACTCCACGGCACATAACCACCACCACCATCAAGAGCAAAATGAGATGGAAAGGATACACAGAGTCACTGTACCGAAAGGGATGATATTCAACCATTTCAAGAAGCAGCACCTGATCAGGACCTGACAGTAATGAAGGAAGAAGTCCAAGCCGCATAGAAGGTACTGGTGAAAAACATGGCTCCAGGAGTTCACAGAATACACACTGAAACATTTCAACAAACTGATGAAGCACTGGAGGCACTTGAACATTTGGCCTTGCAGTCCAGTGCTTATCCTACAGTGGCACCAGGGTTCATTTAGTATGGTGTTGTTGTTGTTGTTGAGTTGGTTCCAATTCATAGTGACCCTGTATAGGGTTTTCGAGGAGTGGCTGGTGAGTTTGAACCACCAATCTTGTGGTTCAAACTGACCTTGAGGTCAAGTTCTGATCCTATAGCACCGCACCAGGACTCCAGCATGTAATATGTTGTTATTTGTTATTAGGTGCTCCCCAGTTGATTCTGACTCATAGCGACCCTGTATAGGGTTTCCGAGGAGCAGCTGGTGAATTTGAACTTGCAGTCAAGTGCATTATCCTGCAGCAACACACCAGGTCTCCTCCATATAGTATACTGTTGTTAAGTGCCATTGAGTCAATCCTGACCCACAGCGACCCTTTATAGGATTTCTGAGGAGCGGCTGGTGATCTTGAACCATCAACCTTGCGGTTCAAAATGACTTTGCAGTCCAGCATATTAACCCACAGCGCCACACCAGAACTCTGCATATAGTATGTTGTTGTTGTCGAGTCAGTTCCAACCCATAGCAACTCCCAACCTTGCAGTTCAAACGGACTTTGAAAGCCAGCACATTAACCCACAGTACCACACCAGGATTCCCTGCATATATAGAAATAGCCACCAATAAATACTTTTTGAATGAAGAAAATGAATGAATCCTTCAAAGAGTTGTGCTGTCACCAAGGGAATGGAATACAATCTTAACGTATTTTAAACATATATAATGATACTGAATATATTTCTTCTGAAAAGAGAAATGTTCATTGTGACATCAAAAATTTAAAGCTATTATTTTTAAAATTTCCTTTAAAGGAAGTTATCAAAGGTGATCACTTTAAAAAGTATTCAATTGATCCATACCTTGTTATTTTGCCTTAATTTACTTAACTCTAATTTATGCTTTTCTGCTTCTTCTAGAGCTCTGTTCAGACGAACTTCTATGGCACTTTGACTAGTGGCAGCTTGTTTCTGTAGTCTTCTTTTATCTTCTAACTCCTGTAGAGTGAAAAAAGATATAGGACATTTATAAATATATCTAACCTTTTCATTATTTGGTAACATTTTCCATTTCCATATTCCATGCTTTGTCCCAAGTTTCTTGTATCAGAAAGTAAACAAATAGCATCTGAATGTAAAGGCCAGAGGCAACACTAAGTGCTGGTGGTCTCACATTGCTGGTGGTGTTGTACGTGCTCTCGAGTTGGTTCTGGGTTTCCGAGGGGCAGCTCGTAAGTTTGAACCACTGACCTTGTGATACATCCGACCTTGCAGTTCAGTGTTTCTCCTACAGTGTCACACCAGGACTCCATTGGTATTATTAGGAAGACAAATCCTAATACTGTAATCATGAAGTAGGTTTTCAAATTACTTATTTGGAATTTTCTGCCTCCGTTTATGAACCCCAATGTATAGTACACAGGTTCTTTATATTTTTCTTATGAGCAACTTTTTGTATTTGTAGCTCTTTCTTTAGGAACCTCCAAAATACCAATGTAAGACACAAATAAGCTCTCTCATGAAGGCTGTTTTTTAATTGACCTGCTAATGTATATTATTTTAGAAAATTTTAGTTAACTACTTGCATTCTCGCCTTATTGTTGTTGGTTGTTGTTAACTGTCATCAAGTCAGTTCCAACCCATAGTGATCCTGTATAGGGTTTCTGAGGAGCAGCTGGTGAGACTGAACCACCAACCTTCTGTTCAAACAGACTTTGCAGTGCATTAACCCATAGCACCTCACCAGGATTCCATTCACCTTATAGAACATCTCAATTTTGAGCAGAAATAATAGATCTTATGTATGATTTTCCATGCCTTGGAATAGGTTTAAACTTACATTTTACAAATATTCTAAGTGATAGTGCTACAGAGTCTGCAGGCCATACTTGGAGAAACACAAAACTAGAGGATAAACTCAAAAAACCCCACTACAATCTGCTGCCTGTCGACCAGCCTCATCTCCAGCCATGTTAACTTTTAGCAAAATCAGCAGTACTTGGATCTCTCCCAAACAGCCTCTGAACCTTTGTTCTTGCTTCTCCTTTTGCATGGATCTTTCCCTATTCATGTATTGTTGTTGTTGTTGTTAGGTGCCATCAAGTTGGTACCGACTCATAGCGACCTTATGCACAGCAGAACAAAACACTACCCGATCCTGGGCCAACCTCACTACTATTGCCACACTTGAGTCCATCGATGCTGCCACTTGGCCAATCCATCTCTTTATGGGTCTTCCTCTTTTTCTCTGACCCTCCACCTTACCAAACATGATATCCTTTTCCCGTCACTGGAGGGTCCCCATAAAGTCACTGGCAGCTAACAGCAGCAGCACCCACTTGTCCTTTTACAGATGGCTTCGGCTTCTTCAGGAGGCCTCCCCTGTCTGAGAACTGCCATCCCCCTGCTCCTCCCCCTTCATCAATTGGATAAGACATCCTTTCTTCAGAACTATAATACCTGGTACACACATATCATAGTACCTTCTGTGTGGTATTAAAACCATCAATTTATTTCAATTCCACCACTACAGGGCAAGCCTACTGAGGCAAGGAACTGTCTTAATTTCTGTATCCCCAGCCCTTCAGTGGCATCTAAGAGACACTAACGACATGTTTATTGAACTGAATGTATTCTGTACTGCATAATTTCTTATTTGCATTACCTACAAAGCCCACTAGTAGAGGTGGTTATGTGCCGCAGAGTCAGTTCCGACTCATAGTGACCCTGCAGAGGGTTTTTGAGGCTGTAAATCTGTACAGGAGCAGAAAGTCTCATCTTTCTCCCGTGGAGCAACTGGTAGTTTTGAACTGCTGACCTTGAGGTTAGCAGCCCAACTCATAACCACTACACTACCAGAGCTCCTTACAAAGCCTAGTAAAGTGCCTTATATAAAGCAGTTCTGCAGGAGAAAGATGAGACTTTCTGCTCCCGTGAAGATTTACAGCCTCGGAAACCCTATACAGAGTCACTATGAGTTGGAACTGACTCCACGGCACATAACGACCACCATTCAATAAATATTGTGAAATTTCAATGATGCAAACAAGAATGCAGTTGCCTGACTTCTTTTTATAATATTTCTTTCTCTTGCATTATCACTACATTTTATTTGAAAACTGATCTCCCTGGCTCTGAGTAATTAAGGGGAAAAACAAAGCAAAACAAAACAAAACACATGCTGCTCTTTATGTAGGTTTCTAAACAAATTAAACAGTGTATGGCTACCATCTGCCATCACCAGCCTTCTTCCCAGCTTTGTGGGTGGTAGCTACATAAGAGCAAGCCTAATTTATCTCACTGTTCCCATCAGAAAGGCAAAGATTCTCATTAGCAACAAAGTCCACATCCTTGTTGTCTCCTTCCTGCCTCCTCTCATAGGACTTGGAAATGAATCTTCTTTGCCCTCGCTTTCCTACTGCTGACTTTGTAATGGACTTCACAGAAAAATGAAAACCATCTTTACCACAAGGTGTCGCTGAATCAATCCTCCCATCTTGGGAGAAGTGAAACTAAAAAGACAGACTGAAGAACTGAAAGTAAAAAATCAAGTTTTTCTCCATGAGTAAATCCACTAAAAGAGAAACCCTTATCAGAAAACTGAAAACATTTCAATCACACTCCCGCAGGTACCTTTTAAAAAGTACAGATAAGATACCAAAATTGCATCCTGCAAAGAAAATAAATCTAGTAATCTTTTAAATCTCCAACTCTGAATTTTACTTTTAAAAAATTTAACTTAAAAAACCAAATACTGTGAGATGCAAGAGGAAATAATTTACTATGCTCTCGTAATTATTAAGGCATTTATTCCTAAAAAGAATGGAGGATGGGGTAGAGAAAAGGAATGGAAATATGAAGATGAACATAAAATATAGAAAACTCTATAAGCTCTACCATAATTCAAATGAAAAATAAATTAGACATAGATAGAGAAATGATCAGAAAAGGGTCCAGAAACAAGTGGCTATAGACTGGAGTCAGAAAACCTGTCAGTGTTTTCATGTGAGATTGGGAATACACTGTTTTTAATCAAATATGCATGCAAAAACTGGACGGTGAAAAACGACTGATGTCTTTGAATTATGGTGTTGGTGAAGAATACTGAATATACTACGGACTACTGCCAGACAAGCTAACAAATCTGTCTTCGAAAAAGTACAGTCGGAATGTTCCTTAGAAGAGGGGATGGTCTTATGTACTTTGAGCATATTGTCAGGAAGGTCCAGTCCCTGGAGAAGAACACCATGCTTGGTGAAGTAGATGGTCAGAGAAAAAGAGGAAGACACTCAATGAGATGGAACGACACAGTGGCTGCGATGTGGACTCAAACAACAATTGTGAAGATGGTACAGGATTGGGCAGAGTTTCATTCTGTTGTATATACAGTCGCTACGAGTCGGAATCAACTCGATGGCAACTAATAAAAAACAGGTTTCATGGAGACCCTGGGTGGCTCAAATGATTAAGTACTCAATTACTAGGCAAAAGGTTGGAATTTCACACCCATTCAAAGGCACTTCAAAAAATAATCTTAGTGATCTGCTTCAGAAAGGTCATAACCTTGAAATCTCTACGGACTAGTTCTACTCTTCACATATGGGTCACCATGAGTTGGAACTGATGCCACAGCAACTAACAACAGTAATAGGTTTTATAAGAGGGGACTTCAGAAAGTTCATGGAAAAATTAAATGAAAAGATCATGGAAAATGTCCACAAACTTATTGAAACCCCTTGTCTTAGTTATCTAGTGTTGTTATAACAGAAATACAAGTGGATGTCTTTAACAACCAGAAATTTATTGTTTCACAGTTTAAGAGGCTAGAATAGTTCAAATTCAGAGCAATGGCTCTGGAGAAAGGTCCTGGTCTCCTTTCAACATCGTTAAGCCCAGTGTTCCTTGGAGATCTCCAGACATCTTAGCCATCAATCTTCCCCTGAATCTAGGAGCTTCATAATGCAATGACCCCAGATCCAAATGATTCACTCTACTCCTGGCTCTTCTGTCTTGATGGTAGTAGGTTCCTCTTTATCTGCTCAAGTCTTGTATCTTTATCAAAAGGTCTTACATGATATACCCTTGGGAATCTCCCATAAATCAGGTAAGAGTGGTGGTGGGACAAAGGTGGTGTATCCCACCTTTAATTCTCATGTTCTATCACATCAGATCACATCATGGGGGACAATTACATTTCAACTGCCAAACCACCCCTGCGAATCCAGGCCCAGGCAAGTTGACACAAAACTTAAACTATCACACACAGTCATTTTTGAATTATCTTCAGCAAAATCTTGCTTGCATGGCATATTGATGATATTGTCTGATGATTTCCACATTCTGTTGCATCACCTCTCTTTGGAATGGGCACAGATATGGATCGCTTCCAGTCAGTTGGCCAGCTAGTTGTCTTCTAAATTTCTTGGCTTAGATGAGTGCCTCCAGTGCTTCATCAGTTTGTTGAAAGATTTCAATTTCATTCCATCAATTCCCAGAGCCTTGTTCTTTGCCAATATGTTCAATGTGCACCTTAGACTACTTCCTTCAGTGTCAGTGACTCTTGATCATATGCTACCTCTTGAATTGGTTGAACATAGAATCCTTCAATACTCAAAGGCGAGGATTTTGTTTTCTTTACAATGAGGTGCAAACCATACCAAAGGCTGTGGTCTTTGATCTTCATCAATAAGTATTTTAAGTCCTCCTTGCTTAAAGCAAGGTTGTATCATCTGCATACTGCAGGTTGCTAATGAGTCTTCTTCCAATCCTGATGAGTTTTTCTTCAAATAATCCAGTTTCTTGGATTATCTGCTCAGCATACAGACTGAATAAGTATGGTGAAAGAATACAACCCTGGCACATACCTTTCCTAGTTGTAAACCAGTCAACGTTCCCTTGCTCTGTTCAAACAAGTGCCTCCTGGTCTATGGAGAGGATCCTCATGAACACAATTAAGTGTTCTGGAATACTCATTCTCTACAATGCTGTCCATAGTTGGTCATGATCCACATAGCAAAAGCCTTTGTGTAATCAATAAAGCACAGGTAAACATCTTTCTGGTATTCTCTGCTTTCAGCCAAGATCCATCTGACATCAGCAATGATATCCCTCATTCCATGTCCTCTTCTAAATCCAACCTGAACCTCTGAAAGTTCTCTGTCAATGTAGGGTTTGAATTTTTTCTTTAGTTCCCTCAGCTTGCGGAATGCTGAGCATGTTTTCCCCTTTTTGTTTTCTACCTCCAGGTCTTTACACATTGTATTATAACAGTTATCATATTAAAAAATCACCGAGGAGGACAGTATGGCTTTAACTGAGTGAAAAGAGACACAGTGGTAGAAGGTCTTGAGGTAGGCGAGTAGAAAAACTTAAGTGGACTTTGTAAACAAATCAGGGCAAAGAATGTGGAGTTTATTCTGAGTGACATGGGAAACGCTTGGAATATGGGAGCTCCTGGTAAAGGGAATTTATGAAAAATCCACAGCCAATATCTTACTCTACATGATGAAAGACTGAAAGCTTTCCTTTTAAGATCAGGAACAAGACAATGGATAACTGCTTCACGATTTCTATTCAAGATGTACTAGAAGGTCTAGCAAGCACAATTAGGAAAGCAAAGGATAGAAAAGGCATGCAAACTAGAAAGGAAAGATTAAATTTATCTTTATTCACATATGACATGATCCTTATCAAAAGTCCTAAAGATTAAATAGCAAGGAACCTCAAATAAACAAAATGCTATAAAAAGGAAGTACAAAGTTGAAGAGCTCACACTTCTGAATTTGAAAACTTACCACAAAATTACAGTAATCAAGACAGCACAATACTGACATAAGGGTAGATAACCGAATAAAATTTGAGACTTTCAACAAGGGTGCCAAATCTATTCAATGGGGACACAAAAAGCCTTTTCAATGGTGCTGGAACAACTGGTTAGCCACATGCTAAGGAATAAAGTTGAACATACCTCATACCATATAAAAAATTAACTCAAAATGGATTTAAGACTAAAATTATAAAACTCTTATAAGAAAACAAGGATAATGCTCCAGATTCTAGTTTTTGACAATGGAATCATAGATATGACACCAAAAGCACAAGCAAAAACGGAAAGAAAAAAAAAAAAAGATAACTTAAACGAACTTAATCAAAATTTAAAACTTTTGAGAGAAAACATTTGGGAACCAAATATCTGATAAGGGTTTCATATCCAGAATATATTTAAAACTCATCAAGAGTCCTCGTGTGTAGCTCTGTAGGATCGGCACTGGACTGCTAACAGCAAAGTTGGCAGTTCACACTCACCAGCCACTACTTGGAAACTATACAGGGTTGATATGCATCAGAAATGACTTGAAGGTTCTTAACAACAACAACTCATCAACAAAAACAAAAAATCCAATTTTAAAATGACTATGATGGCTGTCAGTTAAAAACAAAAACAAAACCCAGAAAATCACAAGTATTGCCGAGGATGTAGAAAAACTGGTAACCTTATGCAGTACTGGTAAGAATGTAAAATAGTGAAGCCACTGTGGAAAACAGTTTTGCTCTCTATAATTTGATAGAGGGAAGTACTTAAAAATTCAATAAGGACATAGAACACTTGAACAACTTGTCAACAAATTTGACCTAACAGTATGGAACACTCTACTCTACACAGTATAATACATATTCAAGTAAAAATGAAACATTCACCAAGACAGGCCACATTCTGTTCCAAAAAACTAGTTAGAACCAATTTAAAAAAAGAATGAAATAATAAATCGGTTCTTTAACCACAGTAGAATTAAATTAGGGATCAATAATGTGAAAACTTTCCAAATGTTTAAAAATTTAATACACTTCTAAAAAATCCATGTGTCTAAAGAGAAATCAGGAGTGAAATTAGAAAATATTTTGAACTAATGAAAATGAAACATCGAAATTTGTGAGATGCACACAAAGTAATGCTTAGAGGAAATTTACAGCTTTAGGGCTTGTATTAGAAAGAAGAAAAAATAAAACACCCATTATCCAAGTTTCCACCTTAAGAATCCTGAAATTAAAGTCAGAGCAAATTAAAGTCAAATAAGTAAGAAGGAAGCAATAAAGGGCAGAAATCAATGAAATAGAACACAAACAAAAGAGACAAATCAATGAAGGAAAATGCTGATTCATTGAAAGTTCTATTACATTGATTAGCCTCTAGCTAGACTGCTTAAGAGAAGACACAAATGATCAATATCAGGAATTTAAAGAGGCATAGCCATTACAAATTATACAGGTGTTATAAACATAATAAAGGAATATTATGGGAAATTTTATGCCTATAAATTTGAACACCTAGATGAAATTTACACATTTAAAAAAAATTACCAAAACTGATTCAAAAAGTAAAAAAAAAATCAGAATAGATGTATATGTATTAAATAAATAGAACTGGCAATTAAAATCCAAAGAAGAAAACTTCATATGCACATGGACTTACTGATAAATTATATCAAACATATTGTACATTAATGGACCTACAATTTAACGCTACAAAATAAACTCCTGACACAGACCCATACATATATGTTGTTGTTGTTGTTAACTGCCGTCGAGTCGGTTCCGACCCATAGTGACCCTGTACAGGGTTTCCGAGGGTGTAAATCTTTACGGGAGTAGAAAGCCTCATCTTTCTCCCGCGGGGCGGCTGGTAGTTTCGAACCGCTGACCTTAAGGTTCGCAGCCCGATTCGTAACCACTACGCTACCAGAGCTAGTAAACTGATTTTCTATAAAAATCATGGCAATTAAGATGGGGAAAAAATAACATTTTCAACAAATAGTGCTGATATCTGTATGGAAAAAATGAACTTTGACACTTTTCTCAAGCCATACACAAAATTAATTTGAAGCATATTATAGACTTAACCATAAAGGCTTAAAGTATATTGGTTCCAGACGAAACCTTGTGACCTTGGAGTGGTCCTTGGAGTGGACAAAGATTTCCTGGAGAGGATGAAAGAAGCACAAGCCACAAAAAATAACAATAAAATTCATCAAACTTTAATACTGTTGCCTTTGAAACACACTGTTAAGAAAATAAAAAGGGAAAGTCAGATTGGGAGTACTCAGTAAATATTACTAAAGTAACTGAACAACCACAACAAACACACAAACATGTGACTTGAATAGTTTTGGTACATATTTCACATTAAGTTAGGGGAAAAAAAGCAAAATGATTACCCTTTCTACTGAAGACAACTGTTGCTGTAATCCATCACATTTTTTGTTTGCTTCTTCTGAAAGAGTTTTATATTTTTCAATTTGAGACTGTTGCATATTAATTGTGCGTTGCTGTCTCACACAATCCTCTTCAAAATTTTTTACCTGGGATTTTAATTCCTGAATTGTATCCTCCTATAGTTATAAACATGTGCATTAATTTATGTGAAAAAATACACAAGGTGTGATATAAAAACACATGGCTGAAAAGAAAAAGGTGCTTCATACAATCTTTGATTAGATTTTAAACCTATTTCATGAAGAAAAACAAACTACACTCCACTTTTATCTTCAGAACTCTAATACAGATAAATCTGGTCTGGCGCTGAGGGTAATGACCTAGACTGCAAGGTTGGTGGTTCAAGCTCATCAACCGCTCCTCGGAAACCCTATACAAGATTGCTGAGTTGGAACTGACTCTATGACATTTCACAATAACAACAATACTGAAAAGTACTTAAAATTCTTTAGCTTTGTGAAATCCAACATTTCAGAATAGAGTTCTACATTTGCATATAATTTTTAAAATTCAAAACTTATCTCAATAAAGTTGTTTTTAAAACTATAAGCAAAATTATTTCCTAAAACATCTTTGAATGTGAGAGCTTTTCTTTCAAGAGGTTTTAAAAACTTACCTTTTTATTGCATTCGCATACAACATTATCCAGTTCCTCCTGCATGACACGGAGTTTTGCCTTTAGAAATCTGATCTGAGCTTCTGTGGATTTAAATAATTGTGTTTACTGTCTCTCCTGTATCTACGATGCCACCAACTATACAGCAGACCATTAATTATGAGAAAACAAAGAACTCTAGATGGAGAGTCTAACAAGAGATCCCTGCATAATGCTGGGACAGTAAAGTGATACCTCTTTACTACAAAGATAAATGAGAAATAATCCACTCAACAGAAAGGAATAGTACAGAAATGCTCACATCTCAATATTGGAGGGAAAAAAACCTCTCCAGAGACTATGAACTAGAAGCCAGTACTCATACAAGTCTACAGACTGAATTCATACTTAACCAGAGTGGGGCAAAATATCCCAAACAGAGAACGTAAAGGGGTCTCAGACCAGTAAAGTCCCCAAGAAACAAACTCAAATCCATTCTGATGAAACAACTGCAATCCTAGCCAATGTCATTTTACAATGCCATTAACTGTAACATGCATCCCCATTTCAGAGAAATTAAAATTTAGTGTGTGTGTCTTAGAATCGAAGAAATACACTAATACCTTTCTGCTTAATCTTCTACAAATTCTCAGTGAGCTTTATCTTTGGTGTTTCACTGCTAGAAAGAAGTCTATTTATGGATTTTATGGATATTAGCAGTAAATCTTTGAGGTTTCTAACTTACAAGTAAATAAAGTGAAAAATGAATTTAGAACCCACTCATAATTCATTCAGTAAAAATACATATATCGAATCCCTACTAGGTTTTACGCACAAGAAGAATATTATAAGACAAGCCTTGGCCTTATGAAACTTGTTTTGAGGAAATTCTCTGAATTGCCTCTGAGAAATCATTAGAAAAATCTCCACTAAGTCATACATGTGATATGCACCACACAAAGCACTGCTATTCATACTGCCTGTTTCAAAGTTTTCCTTATTAATCACTTCTCCCATGTTCCCATGATTAATGATGGTTGGACTATAACCCTACCTAGAACTGTCTGCCCTCAACTTTCCTTCCAGAAGAACAAATAAATCTGTCTTGGAGGAAGTACAGTCAGAAAACACCATAGATGCAAGGATGGCGAGACTTTTAGACTTGTTCTCAGGAAGGACCAGTCACTGGGAAAGGACATCATGCTTAGAAAAGTAAAGGTCAGCAAAAAACAGGGGATCCCAAAATGATAGATCAACCCAGCTGCAACAATGAACTCAAACTAACAATAATAGAGAAGATGGCACAGGAAAACTAGTGGCTAACAATAACAAAACATTAACAGTATGCAGCAAAAAAAGAGATTTTGCACAATGGTGAAAGTGCCTGGCTACCAACTCAAAGATGAGCAGTTGGAGCCCACCAGCCCCTCCGTAGGAGAACAGATCCCTCCCCTAAAGATCACAGCCTAGGGAGCCGTCTGGGGCAGTTCTACTGTGTCCTATAGAGCTGCTCTGAGCCAGAACCAACTCAACAACATACAACAACAGTAGGCAGCACAATAAGTATCATATAAGGAAATAGTTACAATTCTTCATAAAATAAACATTTGAAAAACACATTTATGATCACCTAATGAGCTCTGGTAGCGTAGTGGTTACGAATCGGGCTGCGAACCTTAAGGTCAACGGTTCGAAACTACCAGCTGCTCCGCGGGAGAAAGATGAGGCTTTCTACTCCCGTAAAGATTTACACCCTCGAAAACCCTATACAGGGTCGCTATGGGTCGGAAATGACTCGATGGCACATAACAACAACAACCAACAATGCAAACTGCTAAATTTTCAAATGAAAAAATTGCTATTAGAGGATTTAAGTGATTTGCCTGCAGTTGTAATTATTATAACACAGCATGAAATTAAACTATGTTCATATATGCTTGTACTTGTCACACATTTTTGTTTATATTGCATTAGTGGCTCCTCAGAAATTCAACAATTTTAGAAGAATTACTGGTAATTAATGTAATGATTTTTAGGTCGCGATGAGTAAGTGGCAACTAAGAACAACAAATTTAGTATTATTATTTCTTTGTAATATATAGACTATGAGTTTATAAAGAGGTAAAGTGTATTCATTAGAAAGCTCATTATGCTATTTTAACCTGATGCTATATTAACAATTCATACATATTTTGTGTGTGTTGATTTAATATGCAATAAACAAAATACGTCCCTGAACCTCATTGGCATGTAGTCGATTCTGACTCATAGCAACGTTTTAGGACAAAGTCCAATACCCCCAGATGGTTCCCGAAGACTGTAATCTCTAGGAAAGCAGATTGCCGTATCTTTTTCTCAGAGATGGCTGATAGTTACATTAAATAAAATAAATTCAGAGAAACATGTCTTTTAATATTATTTTAATGTTTTAGATATAAGGTATGGGGAATTTTAATTGAAGAGTACTCAATAAAAGAAATAAAATCTTTTTTAAGTTTTTCTAATAGACAATCTCAATCGTATACAAAAGTAGCGAGACTACCACAATTAATCCCCACTTATCCATAATTCATTTTCAACAATTATTGACTCATGGAACAGTTTTACTTCATTTATAATTTTATTCATCCCTCCCAGTGACATTTCCCACTAGATTATTTTGAAACATATCTAAGACATCACAATATAATTTTTTAATACAAGAAAAATTTTTGGTTTTCTTTTAGTGAAGAACTCTTGTTTTCTAAATAACTGTGTTTAAAAAGATAAATGTAACAAATGAAAGGAAACTTACCTGTCCCAATGTCTTTGCTAACACCAGAGAAAATATCATCATCTACATATTCAGGTAAGCCTTTTTCGTCCAATTGCCCTTCAATTTTGCTAATTGTTTTTGCAAGAGAAAAGTCTAAGAAATCCTCTGGAATGGCAACATCACTGGCCATTTGTACATCAGAACATTTTAATTTCACACTAAAAATACATGATGTTATAGAAAAGAGATATGGTTTATACACAATAACAAAACAGATCAAAGTTACTATAAAATTTAAATTTATGATAAAATCTATTTAAAAGACATTATAAGAGATTTTAGAGATTATCAAACTCTATGGATCATATAAATCACAGAGTTGAAAAAGGCATTATGAGAAAAGTTAGTCTAGATCAAATCTAAGAGTACTGAACTCAGCATCTTAGGTTATATAAGGCCTGTGGCTTTTAAACTTTAGATGTTCATGAAAGAACTGTAAAAATTGGTTTTGCTCTAGTCATAATTCCATATATACTAATAAAAAAATTCTCTCGAGAAATAATGACAGAATAAACAGTTATTAGCTCAAACTCCCACCACTCGTCCTCAGTTTGTCGTACTCTGGTGACTTGCGTGTTACTGGAAGCTATGTCCCCAGTATTTAAAATGCCAGCTTTTAATTACCATGGTGGACAGGTTTCAGCAGCTTCCAGACAAAGGCAAGGAAGAAGGAGAGGTGGAATACTTCTGAATGGTTAGCTAAGGAAAATGTTATCAACAGCAGCAGAACACTGTCAGATCTAGTGCTGCAAGATGAGCCGCTCAGGTTGTAGGGTACTCAAAATACAACTTGGGGAAGAGCTGCTTGCTCAGTGTAGACATGGACATGAAATGAATGGAGTAAAGGTTTTGGGAACTTCATTTGCTAATAAGGAACAACTAAAAATTAGAAGAAATAGCTGTAAACATCTGTTAATGACTACAACATGAAATATACAAAGTATGAATCTAGGAAAATTAGAAGCTGTGAAAATGCAAGGACGAGTCAAAAATTATCCACACTCCAGTTACATTAACATGCCTGTCCATGCCCATGACTGATGACAGCATTGAGCATACATGTGAAATGACTTCTGTCGAACAGATAAGTGACAGTGGATTATGGGGCAAATAATTTCCAAATCAGCCACGGCTTTTACTATGAAATAATTCACGACAAATTTGGGTTTTGAAAAGTTTGTGTGAGATGGGTATCAAAACAACTCACTGAAGACCATCAACAGAAGTGTTTGGATTGATGACAAAGTGAAGATAGCAGTGCACTGGTGGCTCGCAGCTCAGCCTAAAACCATTTTTCAATAAGGACACGTGAAAGCTTGTTGAGAAAAGGACATGGTGTATTGAAAAGCAAGGAGATTAACTTAAAAAAGATGTATTTGTCTTTTCTAAAATTTGATTATAACATTCTATAGCCAGAGTGCAGACAATTTTTGAATCACCCTCATAAAATGAAATGCATAAAGGTCAATATCCTAGGTATTAGTTAGCTGAAATGCACTGGCATTGGCCCGTTTGACTCTGGCAATCACATGGTTTATTATATTGGGAACATCACAATGAAAAGGAATAAATAGCATTGCATTCATTGTCAAAATTTTTTTTCAATTTTATCTTAAAGTACAATGCTGTTTTTGATAGATTAATATCTATATGCCTACAAAGGAAACCCGTTAATACCACTATTTTTCAAATTTATCCACCAATCACGAAACTCAGTAATGATGAAATTGAAGAATTCTACCAACTGGTGTGACAACTGGTCTACCAACTGGTGCTGTGCTGAAGGATAATGCACTGATTTCACAGTTCAAACTCACCAGCCACTCCTCAGAAACCCTATGCAGGGTCACTATGAGTTGGAACCAACTCAATGGTACACAACAACAACCAACTTTTTCAGTCTGAAATTGATCATACATGCAACCAAGATGCATTGATAATTACTGATTTTTGGACTGTGAATGTTGGAAATAAAGTTGACAAAAGACCAGAAGAGTTGTGGGATGACATCAAGAACATTATACAGGAAGAAAACAAAAGGCTATTAAAAAAACACAGGAACCAAAGAAAAAACCAACATGTATATCAGAAGAGACCCTGAACTTGCTCTCCAGCATAGAGATGTTAGAGTGAGTGAAAGTAATGAGGAAGTAAAAGAGCTGAACAGAAAATTTCAAAGATAAATGGAGAAAAGATTGAAGTTGTCAAAGACTTCATTTTGCTTGGATTCACCATCAACACTCACAGAAGCAGCAGAGAATAAATCAAACTATGTATTGCATTAGGCAAATCTGCTACACAAGACCTCTTTAAAGTTTTCAAGAGCAAAGATATCAGTTTGAAGACTAAAGTGCCATAATGATATTTTCAATTGCCTGATATGCATGTGAAAGTTGGAAAATCAGTACGATAGACTGCAGAAGAATTGATGCATTTAAGTTACAGTGTTGGAGAAGAATATTGATAGTACCAAGGGCTGCCAGAAGAACAAACAAACCTGACTTGAAAGAAGTGCTGCCAGAATGTTCCATAGAAGCCAGGATGGTGAGACTTCATCTCTCAGACTTTAGATATGTTATCAGTAGGGACTGTCCCTGGAGAAGGACATCATGCTTGATACAGTGAGGGTCAATAAAAAGAGGACGACCCCCTCCCCCCAGTGACAGCAGCAATGAGCTCAACTGTAACAACCATTGTGAGGATGACACAGGATGGGGCAGTGTTTTGTTCGGTTGTTCATTGGGTCACTACGATTCGGAACCTACTTGATGGGACAACAACGACAAGCTCAAATTCAAACTCAATGTTTTTTTCTTTTCTCTAAAGAAACATACACATCCTAACCAGGATCAAAGTTGACCAAAAAGTTGGATTTGATTTTTTTAAGGTGGTGGGGGGAAGAAATACATTATAAGTCTCTTCTAAAAGCACTGAGGAATGGACCAGCCTAGTCCATACCAAGTCTATGCTTCTGAAACCCTAACTTCAGAATTCTATTTGGAAAACCAATTTGTCCATAAAAAGAAACTTAAACTATAAAAATAAGAACACTTTCCACTTATGTAACCGCTCAGTAGCATACGCTCTTTTCTTCTATCAATCTATTTACGCTCTCCTTCTTTGTCTTCCTTTCCCTGCACTTTTTTTTTTATTACCAATTAAAATTAGTCAATTAAATGGTGCAAGACTTAACAAATATATATATATGTATAAGAACTTAAATGCAATGATCAGTTTTGATAAATAATACGCATATGAAGTTACTAAGTAGCCAAGCTGGTTTGTCTACTGCAGATGCCACTCTCCTTTACTAGAAAACCTTCTGTTGTTAGGTGCCATCAAGTAGTTACTGACTCATACCAACCCTATGCACAACAGAAGAAAAACGACCCGGTTCTGTACCAATCTCACAGTTGTTATGTTTGAGCCCACTGTTGCTGATATTGTTTGAATCCATATAGGACCCTTTTTAATACTTCAAGTCCTATTGGACAGTCTTGAATTCATACTATTGTCTAATTAAACAGCAAACTCAGTCATTCTACCTCTTATACAATAACGTATGGTGTCTTCCTAAATGCCCGTAGATAAAAGACTTGTTGTTGTTGTTAAGTGCCATGGAGTTGGTTCCAACCCATAGTGACCCTGTATAGGATTTCCGAGGAGCAGCTGGTGAGCTTGAACCACCGACCTTGCAGTTCAAACAGCTTTGTATCTGGCACATTAACCCACAGCACCACACCAGGACTCCACATAAAAGACTACTTAATATAATTCAGAAAAGAATCCTATGTTTTATAGTCAATTCTAAGAAAATATTTCACTAAAAATAACATTTAAAAAAATGTAAAATGTGGTAATTTTGCACAAAGAAACATTACAAAATACTATTAACTGCTACAAAATAGTTCTAAGTAGAAAATGTTTTAACATATTGATGTGGGTAAGACATTCATGTATACAGTATAATTTAATATATTTTAGATGTAAAAATATCTGGAGACACAAAAAACTTAATAATTAAGAATACTGTATAGTACATTATAAAACTAAAATTATGAAAGCAATAATTTTTAAGCTGTACTATACCTTGAATTTGTTTTCTTTCCTTTATTTGCAGAATGTAGTTTGTTTTGAACCTTGTTTACAGGACCAATGTTTTTCATCTTTGGCTACATGAAAAGAATTTTAATTACAGATTAAATGGATTCTAATAAATTATGAAAGAAAGCAGTTTTGTGATACACAGAATTGCTATTTTCATGGAATTAATTAAATTGCATATTACAGAATCCAGAATTTTACATGTGGAAAAACAGCTAGGCATTCTCAGCATCAGCATGTTCTGAGATAAGGAAAATGAATACCAAAGATTCTGGGACACTGAGCTAGCTAGCCAATAGAGCATTAAAGGCGAATGCTCAGATTCACAGAATTTAATTCTCTTCATTAGCCAATTCACATTCCCTTTTCCCTTGGTCTACATGCCCAAGGTGGAGAGTTTGTAACTGCTGGTATGTACAGCACCTGGAATAACGACCTCCACAGTGTAAATACTTAAATGAATGAACCTTTCAAACCACTTTCTTTATATAGGTATAAGTACCTTTCTTTTTCAGATCTCCCTACAAGATTTTGGCTTCTAAAATAACACTAAAAAATCTCACGTTACAAACTCAACTGCCATTTAGAAATTTTCCCCCCAATGGCTGGAAATACATCTCCAAATTGATACAAAAAGGATTCAATTTATTTTATGAACAACATTTCACTATGTATCAAGGTTTACATTCTATGTCAGAATTACATCTCTTCTGTTTTGTGAAAGAAACGTATAAAACATAATCAAGCATTCTATAGAATATATTTATAGGTTTGACTTCATACCTTAATTTCTGAATCTAGATGAACTGTCTCTTCAGATGATAACAGATCCCTACAGACCAAAAGTAAATATTACACATTAATGAACAATGATACTAAGCTGTTGTCATTGTTGGGTGCCATCAAGTTGATTCCAATGCATAGTGACCCTGCCTGTATAGGGTTTCTGAGGAGCAGCTGCTGGGTTTGAACTGATGACATTGTGATTTTCAGTCCAGTACTTATTCCGACACGGTCACACCAGGACTCCTCTAACTAGAGTTAAGTGCTGTCGAGTGGCTTCCAACTCACAGCGACCCTACAAAGGGTTTCTGAGGAGCCACTGGTGATTTTGAACTGTCAACCTTGCAGTTCAAACTGACCTTGAAGTCAAGTGTTTACCCTACAGTGCAATGCCAGGACTCCTTGAGATTAGCAGTCCAGTGCTTATCCTACAGCTCCACACCAGGGAGTGCAATTGAATCAGTTTTGATTCATAGTGTCCCTATATAGTGGCTGGTGAATTTGAACCGTGATCCTTGGAATTTCAACTGACTTTGCAGTCCAGTCCTTATTCTATAGCACCTCACCAGGACTCCACAGTAGAGGGCATAAAGTGAAAAATATTTTCCATCAGATGCTACCTACTTAACTAGTCATGCATGAATTTTTCTAAAAAGATCATTGTAGTTGCTAGGTGCTGTTAAGTTGGTTCTGACTTAGAGCAACCCTATATACAATAGAAGGAAACCCAGGTCTGTGCCATCCTCATAATCACTGTTAGAGCTCACTGTTGGAGCCACTGTGTTAGTGAATCTTGTTGAGAGGTTTCCTCTTTCTCTCTGACCCTCTACTTGACCAAGCACGATGTCCACCTCCAGGGACTGGTCCCTCCTGAAAATATACCCAAAGAAAGTAAGACAAGTCTTGCAATCCTCACTTCTAAGGAATACTCTAACTACACTTCTTCCAAGGCCACCCATGGTATATTTAACATTCTTCACTAATTAATCCAAAGGCGTCAATTCTTCACTTTCCCTTATTCATTGTCCAGCTTTCTCATGCATATATTGTTGTTGTTAAGTCCCTGTACAGGATTTCCAAGGAGCATCTGGTGAGCCTGAACTGCCAAGCTTGCAGTTCAAATGACTTTGCAGTCAGGCACATTAACCCACAGAGCCAAAGTACCTCAATTCTCAAAGTGATATCTTTTATCTTTAACACCTTAAAGAGATCTTTTGCAGCAGATATGCCCAATGCGATATACCATTTGATTTATTTATTGCTGCTTCCATGGGTTTTGTTCATGGAACCAAATATAATGAAATCCTTGACAAATTCATATTTTCATCATTTATCATATTGCTTCTGGGTAAAGTTGTGAGGGTTTTTGTTTTCTTTATGTTGAGTGTTTCTTTGTTGAGGGGTAAACCATATTGAAGGCTAGTCTTTGATCTTCATCAAAAGTGCTTCAAGTCCTCTTTACTTTCAGCAAGCAAGGTGTGTCATCCATCTGCATATCGTAGGTTGCTAATTAATAAGTCTTCCTCTAATCCTGGTGCCACATTCTTCTTCATATAGTACAGATTCTCAGATTATTTGTTCAGCAGACAAATTGAATAAACATGCTGAAAGGTACAACCCTGACACACACCTTTCCCGATTTTAAACCATGCAGTGTCTGTTTACAGTATCTGTTTAACGATTGCTTCTTGGTCTATGTACAGTTTTTACATGAGGACAATTAAGTATTCAGAATTTTTTACTTTTGGTAATGTTATACATAATTTGTTATGAACCAACAGTTGAATGCTTTTGTATAGTCAATATAGCACAGGCAAACATTTTTCTGATATTGAGGATATCACCAACCTTATGGTTACCAATACAGTGCCTATACTACGGTGCCACACCAGGACTCTGTGCATTTTTTTAAACTTTTGAACTTGAACCACTCTTGCTCTCTCAGTCCAAAAGGAGTTACCTTGAGGTTGTCAGGCTACCATGTTGTTGTTAAGTGCCATCGAGTCAGTTCCGATTCATAGTGACCTTATTAGACGTTTTCAAGAAGCAACTGGTAGTTTTGAACCACCAACCTTGTGATTAGCAATCCAGTGCTTATCCAACACCACCACATCAGGACTCCCAGGCTAACATGGTGATGTTATATCTTCAGTTTGATCTTTGCCCTTTGTCATTTTATCTAATTTTAAAGTTTTACTTATTGCTAAGTGCCGTCGAGTTGGTTCTGACCCAGAGCGACCCTGTATAGAGTTTCCAAGAAGGTGATAGGTTTGAACTGCCGACCTTTTGGTTTAAACTGACCTTATGGTCCAGCACATTATCCTGCAGTGCCATACCAGGTGCCCTTTTATCTGACCCTTGTCCTGAAACATCTTAATCCATTGAAAATTTCATCAGTAATTGTGAAGGCCACTTCTTAACTGATTTTTGCTTCAACATAGAGTTTTAATAGATTTTGTTCATGAACGATTTTTTCAATTTTGTCCTCATAATATTTGAGGTCTAAAAGCAGTGAATCCTCCCAAAATTACAATATTTCTAATTTCTAGACTCTCTATATTGCATTTCTGCTAGCAAACTAGTCAATTCTTTCCTGAACTCTTCTTTCTTATAATATTTTGCAAAAAAACACCTCATATCAATAGCATATCCTACTAAGATTGTTTCCCAACCTCTTCCTTTAGAGCCACAAATTCATTAGACCCCTGTTTGGCCTGCCAAGTTACCAGAAGTGATAGTTTTACTACATGCCTTATCAATACTAACATGGATCTATAGTTTTCTAGCCTTCACCATCACTTCCCTTGCTGGCTACCTCCTAACTGCTAAGTTAAAGACAAAAGTTTTGAGTTTCTGCTATGCAGTCCCCATTCCCAATACCAATTTCTGTATTAGTCAACACAAGGCAGGATATTAATCCCAACATCTCAAAGGCTTAATGCACTCCTAAAGTAGCAGTGAAAGGGGAAAGAGGGCCATTTTTCTACATGTTCCACACAGTATCCAGAAACAAGGCTAGAAAGTTCTACCTCACAGCACAGAGCAAGCCAGAGGACTACACACTGACTTCCTTCTGCTTCGGCTTCAAAGAGATTAATTCAATTTCTTATCACAGTCTGCTGACAACTGCAACAGACTTTTGGTGATTCCTATTGCCTCTACTACAGCAAGATTCATAGTTTCAGTTACACAGATCCTTTACTTTCCCTGACAAATGTATTCCCAAATATCTTACAGCTTCCCGATTTCTTGACATATTAGAAGTGCATGTGAAATTCAAGAAAAATAAGATCTAATATATATATATATATAAAGGTAACATACACATATATGTGTTTATAAAGGTAACATACACATATCTAATATATATATATAAAGGTAACATACACATATATGTGTGTATATATACACACATATATGTGTATGTTACCTTTAGTAATTTCTTTTTAACCTACTCTTTGTATGTAATTTAAAAAGAAAGGTAGTATAATATGTGAGAACTATAAGGAGCTCTGGTAGCGTAGTGGTTACGAATCGGGCTGTGAACCGCAAGGCCAGCAGTTCGAAACTACCATGGGCTCCACAGGAGAAAGATGAGGCTTTCTGCTCCCGTAAAGATTTACAGCCTCAAAA